CGATAGCTTTTCTTATGGCTCCCGCATGATGGAAATCCAAAAGAAATGCTTGTCTGTACAATTCGTGTACAAAGTTTACATTATCCCTATTTCCATATAAAACCTCTCTGACTAACAAAGCCGAAACGGCACTATCTTCTTGATTTTGACTATCCTGCTGAGAAATAGCTGATTCAGGTGACAGTAAATTCGAATCCACAGAATTTTGAGTATACATCGACACACGGCGTAATTCTGACTCGGCATTTTCCTCATTTGGTGTTGTACTGCAGATTAGTGTTTAAAAATGTATTATAATTCAAATTACAACAACAAACAGATAAAATTAATGAATTACCTTTGTGAAAGATGTGCAAAAAGTCCATCTTTTCTAGCGACATGTGTGAAACTTGCAACCCATTTGATTAAAGCGACTTTACAGAGTACATAATTATTTTGATTTTGATTTATTGGTTTACGCATTGTGGGTAATTCCAAATTAGGTTTGTAAAGGGAAAAGTTGTCATTGAATTCCGGACAGATGTGACGAAGATATGCTACTTTAAAACGCTCTAATAAAAATTGAAAAGTTTTATGCTGTCGTGTAGATTTATCTCGCCATTCTACTTTTACCACCTGAAAATAACACAAACAAATTGTTAATTATTTTTATCATTTTAGCGTTTTAACACTAAATAGATATTTATAAATATGTACATAGAGAAGTAAATTACATACCTGAGTAACCATAAATTCAAGCAATGCTTCCAAAAATCGAACAGTTTCATTATCGAGAGGTTTTTCTCCACTTTGCGGTGGTAAGATAGGCCCGCCGTCAACTTGACTGATAGGACATTGATTTGATCCATTATCATGAAAAGTACTTTGCCCAAGTTGCGTGTCATAAAATTCTCTCTTATCTTTCTCTTCAGAATTAGATGCTTTCGCCAGTTTTTCTTTCTTGCCATCTGTCTTACGATCACATTTATAAGGCGATGCTTGATGCGGTGGAAATCCTGGCACCAAGCTGGCGAACATCTGATGTATATGTTCGGGAGCATTTTCGCCAAGAGCTTGATACCACAAAATAAAGTACCTAAAACATCAATGGTGTTACACAAATAACAAGTAAATATAACATACATAAAAACCAAATATAATATGCCCTAAATAAATAGAACATATATACTGTGACCAGTTGTCATACCTTATAGCTTGTCTACGAAGTTTCCAACTATTACCAGGATGCAAGAGCTTCTGCAAAATCCGTGCTAAACTATGACATTGCCATCGTCTGTTAAGCAGCTCAGGAAGAAGAGTTAAAACTTTCTCCAGAAGTTGCAATACTTGTTCTAACTCTTCCCTGTGTGCCTTATGCACTACAAAAAAATATAGATTAGTTTTTTCTATCTTTTAATCATACTACATAAGAAAAATTTATGACAAATACTATGATTAATATGAGAATAATATTTACACATAAGTATCCATGTAAATGTAATTTAACTCATAAGACGTTAGTAATGGAAGAAATAATTAATGCAAATCAAGCTAAAGTAATATGATATATCAATATAATATGACTTACCAATATGGAAGGAAAGCTCTGGCAGCAGAATGGGAAGAAATGAAAGAGATGATAATAAAATAACGAGTGAATACTATGGTTAATATAAAATTTATTATAATTTTGAAGGCAATGATATTATTTTGTCAAGTTATATAATTATGCGATATATATTAAAGCATGGAAATTTTTGAAGTTATACAGCATTAGGACAGTTAGCTTTATTTAGTATCAATTTAGTTTGTAACTTACCGCGTTGTCGAAGATTTGCTTCGGCGGACACGAAGCAATCGTAAAGAATGAAGTACACATGGCTGAAGTTACCCTCAAAAAAGCCCTTTGCCTCGTCAGTGTCCACATTTTCTTTAATATAAAAACAATAATGCATGAATTAATATGTTTATTATATAAAATATAAGATATTCATAAATATATCATCATTGATTAAATAAAAAAAAAACTTTCTCTAGCAATATATCAAAAGTAACATAAATACAAAAAATTAAGTTTTTCAAAAAAAGAAAATTCTTTTTCAACTTGATAGAAAATTATTGACTAATCAATGATATCGATAAAAAATATATATTTATAATATGATCCCATAAAATATTTTTTTGTCAATTTTATTTCATAATCTTTTGAAAAACTATTCTCTTTAAATTGTGACGTTTTGACGATTTCTCATGAAGTTTACTGTTGACGACTAATAGAACAATATTTACTTAACACTATAAGGACCGAGGTAGCCAATGGCTCCTCGCGAAATTCAAACTAATATAACTTTTTTCAATTTTGCTTCCACGTAATATCCTTTTGTAACTTTTCATCATTTTTCATGTTCTTAATTTTAGTAAAAAAATTTGTAATTATATAAAATAATTGAATTTTTATTTAATTGTCTACCCAGAGAGATCGTTGAAGTCAATTTGGTTCCTTTATCGGGTCCTTCTAGTGTTAACTTATTCATGATAATAACTAAAAAAAAATGTATTGTATCGCTTTTGAAATACGAGAGTGATATGTCTTATATAAAAAAGTAGTGGAAATTCTATTACATCATAACTGGTTCTAAGCATCTGTACTTATATAGTAGAATTCCTTTTCTTTTTCCTTATATGTACATATATAAGAAACAGAGAAAGAGGGAAAGAGAGAAAAAAATGTGTAATATAGAAAGAAATGTACAATACATATTATAATATTTCAAAATAATTTAATGTAGTGAAGTAGATAAATAGAATAGAAATATTAGAACAGAAATATATGTGAGATATCAATATGTGTGACATTAGACACATATAGGCACATGTTTGCAAAATATCTAAAGCTGTAGATTATTTTTATTAGTAGTATGTATGTATGTACAAAAACACACATAAAACATGCAACAACAATGTAACTTTAGCTAGACATGGAGGCCACCAGTTGGTCAATGTGGTCAGGCGGTTTGGTGATTAGATATTGACTAGCTCTCTCATAACACTGTGAAACCACTATCTTGTAACTGCTTGGATTTAATTCTTTTCCTTTTTTAACTAGGATTTGCAAACAAGTGATGTAACAGAGTTTTGTCTATGTCAAATAAACAGCTGAGAAAGAAATAGACTACTACTACTTTCTCAAATCTTTTACTAATTTTCTATAAAACCTTCTAAATAAAAAAACTGCTAATTAGCTTTACTTTTAAGATCAGTTAAATATTATACAAAGTATATTTATTTTATATTTCATAAAGAGGTAAAAATATCTTCTAAAATCTGTATAACTGAGTTTTTTTAATTATTACAATATCTTTATATATTTATTAAAAATCTGCTTGCAAAAATAATCTCTCATTAATGTTAATTAAGGTCCACTTTGACCAAATTTTAATTAATTCAACTCAAATCATCTGTGCTATTTTGTTAACATAAATCAAACAATTAATCTCTTTAAAAATCTATAAAAAATATAGATCAGGGATAATGACACAATTAACAATTTCGCAAGTAATTCTGATTGAATTAATCGAAGTTTTATTCGGTTTGGTCAAAGTCACTATAATGGTTATTTTTAATTTTCTACTTAACATATCAACATTCCTCAGGGTCATCCTCTATTTTCAAAGAAGTCATATGAGTTGCATGAAGTAAACAATTTTTCCTGAGTAACGTAAAAGTAATGTTGTGTACTCTCATGTTCTCTCTCACTCAATATCTGAGAAGTAAAAAGCTGAAGTAAGATTCATTAAAAGAACGAGAAACGTCCTCGTGGCTCGCAATTTAAGGCGTCTCCGCCAACACGCGTGGGAGCGAGTAAATATCAGTGGTACCGCCTCGATTTCGCTATTGTCATTCCGCGAAATACCTGACTCAGCCTATCGTGACCTGTCATCACCGACACGTCGTTGTCATCGTGATCCTCACCTAGTACGATTTTAAGATGTTTGAATCGCGTCGCGCTGTCCTTCTTGACATCCTGGATCTTGAGCGTCGACTTCTTGACGTCTACATGGAGCTTCTTGCTGAACATGATTCAAGCCGCCGGCGGCCGCGGGGACAAGAACAATCATCGACGGCGACGCCCAGGACGGTCCGCGTCGATGTCCGGGTCCGGTTACCTCCGCGCGATCACCATGCCAGCGACGCGAGGTGCACGATGCACGGTCCACCCGTGTCACGTCAAATCGGCGTCGAATTTCGCATACACACCTCCGATCAGATGTACGTGACGGCCATCTTGAGCGCCTAACTGGCCACACGCAAGCAGCGCTGCGCCCTTCGGTGGTACTTCGGGGCAATGACATCATCCGTCATCCAATTCCCAATTCCCAGAGAATTCCTTATGACTAATTTTAATTACATACGTTTCGTGCATTGTAAGGGACATTTTGAAATTTTGAAGGCGTCCCGCGAAATAGAAAAATTACCTATGCGACGTCTTTAGAATATTTTGTGTCCCGATTTATCATTTTTGAAACTTTTTTTTTTTTTTTTTTAATTTGACACCGTTCCTTGACGCGTGTAACTTTGATCGATAATACAGTTTAATAATAATGTATATAAACAAAGATATACATTATATAGCAACAAAAAATGAGGAGCTAATTGTAAGAATTATTTATTAAATCGGTTTAATAAATTGGTCTTGTCAAATAGGTTAATTATCATTTTAATATATAATGTTAGTTTAATTAATATGTATCTATATTTATTTCTTGAAAATGTTATATAAATATTACTAATGAGCAAAAGATTTACTATTATATAGATATATATGTATATGTAATATTGTATATATTATATTTTATACATATATTTTTTGACAGTCTTCAAGTAGGAATCTACATTATCCGCAGTGGGATTTGATTGGAATAACGAAATCGTCTTTATCGATTGAACAGCGATTATAACTAGCTTGATATTCGATTTCACTAGAGGTCCCTCGTGTTCAAAGCGGAAGTGATGGAAAATAACGTCAAAAGACTAGTCATGGTGGACACGCGCTTTCAAAATGAGTTCGAGAGATGAGGAAGCTGACATGGAATTTTTGTTTGTTAAAGATCACAGCGTAAGTCAGCAGGAAAAAGTGAAGGCATTCTGGAAGTTTCTGGATGCTCAGAATTGTTTGCAACCGCAAATAGGTAACGAAAAATATGAATTTATGTTATCGATTCGCTAAGAATATTTTTCTTTCATTTTACTACGAAATCGTGCACATCTTATAAGATATGTGTGTTAATATTATAATATAGTATTAATTATATTATGTATCATAAGCATATTTATTGTATAATAATCTTGTAACACAATGAAAAAAGAATAAGTTAGAATAATATCAAATTAAATTCAAAATTCATATTTTTATATCTCAAAAGTTATGGCACACAAAATCGCTTAAGTTGTACACAGCACAGAAATTTGTAGTAACATTGCTGCAATGTGACTGGAATGATATTCTGTGCTGTATAAGACACAATAAATTAAATTGATCAACAAATTTACCAATCATCAATTTAACATGATACTAATAAGCATGTTAAAACACTGCATAGAATTAATTTTATTTCTATTAAATTACATAAAAATAAAATTCTATAAAAGTAATCAATATCGAGCATTTGATTGAGATAATACTTTGACGCGAAGGAATATTGGAGCATGAATCGCCATCGGAAACGGAAGCGTCGGTATCGAGCGTGGAGGAAATTATGAAGGAGAAGGATATTTGGCACAAAGGATTGCAAGTCTTCCAACAACTCGGTCTAGATAAAACCGCTCTCGCAGCTGATAACAGATGCGAATGCTGCATTGCTCATAAAACAAAGTTCCAGTATGGTTAGTGGAACAATTCGATAGAACGTTAGATAAATCAATACTTTTCCCGATAATCACAGATGATCGCGAAGATCTGGCCGACACGGTGACGCAGGAATATGAGGAATTGAACGCTGACATAGAGGCCTTCGAGCAGCGTCAGAAAAACCGTGACTCGATCCTTACTCAGTGCGAAGCATTTTGTGCTGTCCACAAATTTACAAATTGCCATTGTGTAAAAACAAAGAAATGATCTAATTTGACTGACTGACATCTTAGGGCGGTCTTTTTTCAACTCGCGAACCGCAACGTTTCCATTCGAGTTCCAATTCGTCAATCGATTTCTAAAAACTCAAATTTATTAGTTTAACAAATCATATGTTTATTTGTGAAAGTAATAAATCAATTTTTTATCTCTCTAGAAATGTTCTACTGTGTGTGTATGTGTGTGTGTGTGTGTGTGTGTGTGTGTGTGTGTGTGTGTGTGTGTG